GTCATGGAGTTCAACTCAGGGGAGCACCGGGTTACGTTAAAGGCAAGCAAGGACTGTGGGATCAAGGAGGTTGGTCTCACGAGTATAGAGCAGGTTCGGCATGTGGGCGGCCAGATCTTCACCGTCGAGGAGGCAAGCGCACACGCAGGCACGGTCGAGTACAAGGAACCCCCTCTGTTTTACGAATACTTCGGAGAGGTCGAGCAAGTCTCGACGGATTATGATGGCTTGCCTATCTTCGACGTATACCCCGAAGATGAACTCATGGACGTCGAAGGAATTGAAGAAGTTGAGGTCGAGGAAACTAGGGTCGAAGGCGAGGTGCAAAAGGCTTGGACGATCGAGCGGCAGCAATCCGAGATACGTGAGTTGGGTAGAGCAACCGACCGCGAACTAAGCAAGTCCGACAAAGAAGAAGGCATGATCGACGAAAAGTGTAAGGAGCCTATTCTTCCGTTTGAATTCTCGAAATATTTTAAGAACTCAACGGCCATGAAGGACGAGTGCGAGTCGACGGACTATGAAGGACCATCTATTTTTGATGTATACCCCGATGAACACTTTGTCGAGGTCGAAAGAATTTTGGTCGAGTACAAGGAAGCCAAAGTGATCGGAGTAAAGGATGAGATTTGGGACGTGATCGAAAAAGACTGCAGTAAAGAAACGCATGATGTGTACGAGGTTAGGACGCCCCAATTAATGGTCGATGGCGAGTCCTTGAGGACAAGGACATTCTTAAAGGGGGCGAGAATGATACGGAAGTGGGAATTGACCCTCGATGATGTGAAGGGCCGAGGGCAGAGGTTAATGGACAAGGCCGAGCAAAGGGTGCAAACAACGCTTGCATGGCCTATGAGACGTGCACGAGCACGTATACGAGGGTGCCGACATGCACAATGGCATAGGAGGTCGAGCAAGAAGCTCGAGAGTTTGAAGCTTGAAGGCTTGAGCGGCGCGGTCGAATGGCGCAAGGTGTGTGCGAGGAAGCAACGCACACGATGCTTGGAGGGTAAGGTCTCGAATGTTTACATTACGGAAGAGATAAGCGGTGCGCGAGGGGTGGATGTTGGGTGGATAGCGCGCACATAGCATGGCCGTGAGCAGGCGAACGTGCAAGTGGTAACATGCGCAAGAGCGTACGAGAAGATGATCACGGGACGGGCAATAATCGAGCGCAAGGAAGGGCGCGAAGACGCGCATTGGCGTAGACGTGCACGGGCGAGACCACGCCCCGAAAGGAAGCGCTATCAGAGGTTTTGGGATGCTTATAGAAGGGTTAGAACCTGGTGGGGATGGCTGTTGTAGCAAATTATTTTTATTTTTACCGAGTACCGAATCAAAAGATTCGTTCCCCGGGTCGATCTCTCGAGGAAGACGATTCGGAATTTAGCGTTGGTATTAATCACACACGAAAAGAAAATAAATCCTAAAAATCTGATTTGGAGAAATATCTAAAACTAATTAGAACTAGGAAAGCGAATAAAGAAATAACAATTAAATCTCTAGAGAAAAGGAAGAAGTTTTAGGGGTCGAAAATCTCATCAAGTTTCAAACTATGTTGAACGATCATTTGTTCGGTTACGAGATTT